TTTTGGGGGGTTGGGGAGATGGCTCAGTAGAATAAGCACTTGCCTGGCAAGTGCAAGGGCCTGAGTTCAATTCCCAGTTCCGAAAAAAAAAAAAAAAGAAATAAATATTACCATGAACAGTAACTCAGTCTGACCTAAAGAAATCAAAAGTATAACTTGCTGTTATATCATGCTAACTCTTAAAAGGATTTGAATTTGCAGATCAACTATAAAATGTGAAAAATGTCAAGTATTCTTTATTTGGTATTATACATACACCACACTAAAATGCCTTTCAATAAGTAAAAGGCAGCACTTTTTAGATATAGGGAATTTTAATTAAATTGGCATAGTCAAGACTAAAAATATAGACATAGCTTTCTTGTCTTTAACCACTCCCTTTAACAGGCTAATAAACACAAACTGAAACACCGGAGACTTGCTTGGTTTTGAGACAATGAAAGATTCTCTCAATATTTAAACATATTCACATAACTAGTTATATAAATCTAAATACAAAACCAACCTTCAGTAGTTTTGAGATGACATTCTTAATCTTTGTGAAAAGTTGAACATTACTAATCAAGTCCAACCATGTATTTAGAAAGGAAAACAGTGATAGTATTTACTAAACTGGAATTACTATCAAACCTTGAATGATATACATTTAACTACAAGCCAATTTTATTTATTTTATTTTTTTTTCATAATTTTATTGAGAAACAAATAACAATGAGACAGTTTCAAATCAAATTGGTAGGACAGTTTCAATAATTAACACATTGCATACATGCTTCCTAGCGGTTAATTGCTGTACAAGATGCAGACATAATATTCTATTTAGAAACACCATTAGAACAAATCACTCTATTCATTAAGAGAATGTAACTATATAACTATTCTAGCCACTTTGAATACACAGATACAAAATGTACATTCATCTGTATACCCTTTTTTTGTTAAGCTCCATTATTTGAATATTATAGGTGTGTAAACTCAGCAAAATATTCTAAAAGAGCCCAGTAGCCCATAATAGTATTGGGTCTTCCGCTTCACTGGCAATGTCAGAAATTGTTGACCCGAGTCCCCTATAGATCAACATAACAGCATGGCTTTACTTCTTATATTTCTTTTTTATACTTTTCTGCTGGATGGTTAAGACCAAGATAAAGCAGGACCTCTGCAACAAGAGTTGTAGCTTTTGGGTCTGATAAGGTCAGTGAAATCCCCTCAGGATTTATTCTGAGATCCTGTACCTCAGATTGTAGAACCTTTGTCAGTGTGAGCCATGTGGATGAGTCACGGCCATTGCTTGGCCAATGTGCTCTCTGTGAAAGCCTGAGAGAGTGTTTTCTCTCCATGTGACTCTCCTTAGGCACACTCTACATCATCGATCACTTTCCTCTTTGGCTCCATAATCTCCTTGATCAGAAAATTTGGGACACTACCGAGTTACATAATGTAACAGTACAAGTTCTCATATGTCCTGAGTCTTAATTGACCTTCGAGGGCTAGGGTCAAAATGTTGGCTTTCCTTGCAGCCCTCCTTTTTCTCTAATTTGGTCTGCAGACTTAGGTTGTTAACCCTCCAGAAAACAAGCTTATTGTTATTACCATACAACTTAGGTTGTTAAGCTTAAGCTCACTATCTGTCTGAATATCAAACATCTTAGGCATAACATGAAACAGGTATTTTTCATCAAATATTGATATGTTGAACTTTAGGTCCCCACCGAATATGATAAAAAAACATTTAAAAATTAGAATATATTTAAAAAATAGGCATAAAGAATTATATACTTCTTATGTTTACACATAAGTCCAAAAAACTAGCCGTATACAACCTTGAAGCAGGACAGACACACAATATTCCTTTTCCTGTCTCTTGCTTTCATTCACCACTCTCTCTCTTTTTTTTTTTTTTTTTTTTCGGAACAGGGGATTGAACTCAAGGTCTTGCACTTGCCAGGCAAGCACTTATTCAACTGAGCTATCTCCCCTGCCCCACCACTCTCTTCTTTTTGAACAACCATCTACCTGAGAGACAGCATAGCAGCAACTAAGCCAATTTTATTTAAATCAGGACTGTCCAACAAAAATATTCTGTTAGCCACTCATGATCTGAATTCTGGTGTATGAGATTAAATTATGGTACACATACAAAAGCCATGAGACATTTCTGTTCTGTAATAAGTAAAGCAGTGACTGTTACTCATTAGTAGCCTTTTTGAGTTAAGCTATTAAGTCTGCCCCTTCTCCCTTCTTCTTGATTCCAGAAAAGATCATTTTTTGTTCCTGGGATGTACTTCTTGGGATTCTCCAAATACTCCATCAATGTATCCTCTCCCCAGGTGGTACCTTTGTTCTTGTTGGCATCTGTGTAAGAGAATCCAGCAGCCTGACCTGTCTTCCACCCAAAGAGACCATGGAGATTTGGCCCAGTCTTGTGCTTGCCTCCCTTTTCAACAGTGTGGCACTGGGCACACTTCTGTACAAAAATTTTCTTGCTTTTTTCAACATCATCCATTTTTAAACCTTCTGCAGCTTCCGCACTGGGTGGTCACTGGTCTTCCCTCGTTACCACAAGGAAAGTTCTAGTGCAGAAGCCTGATGTCCCGCTCTCTCCAGAGGTGGTATTTTATACAATGAAGTATTACTCAGCTATAAAAAAAGATAAAATTGGGGCTTTTATAGCAAATGAATGCAATTATGAGACCATACACATAAGCGAAATAAATCAGCCTACATGTATAAATATTGTATTGTCTCATTAGTGTAAGAACCTGAAACAATAAATAAAACCTGAAAGGTACAATAGACACTGTGAAAGGAAACAGAACAGTTCAACAGGAAGGAACAACTGGGATGAGAGAAAGGAGACAAGCAAGAAGGAATGGGAAAAACATATGTGTGTATGTATACAAGATAGCTTGTATGATTGCACTGCTGATTTCTGGTGATTCATTGAAAGGAGCCTAAATATTTCATTCTTTCTCCTTTCAATTTTTTATATTTTTTGACCACTTTTGCATGCTGGTAATCTGAACAACTACTTTGAAGTCAACAATGTACAATATAACAAACATTGTTTAATTCCTATCATTTTGTTTAGTGAAATTCTGTATCGTTTCTATTTTTTTTTTTTTTTACTATTTTTCATTCTCTTTAAAAAATTAAAACCAAAAAAAATTAAAAAGAAAACTGAGACAACAAATTGGCTCTATCAAAAAGGGGAATAATTATCTTGTATCTCTCCAAAAATTGTTAAATATTTCTTAGGGTGATTGTGGTATAAATTTTGAAAAGACAAAGAATACAAGCGAATTAAACATACATAATGCTTTATTGTTAAAAATAGAGATACTCCAGTTTCCTTTAACAGGAATGCTGACGTACAAGGCTCTATAAATCCTTGTTGTTCTGTCCAGGGCAGGGAGAGGAACCTGCTGCTGGTGACCAACCATGTAACCCCCCCCAAGGAGCCCCATGCTTGGTGGTAGTGACCCTAAGATGCTGCATGGATGCCGTGGTCCTCAGAGCCCTTGTGGTGGTGGCGGATATCATAGCGCCAATGGGCCATCACCTGTCCTGCATGTTTCCTGTGTCTTCACAAGCCTTGCACATTTGGATTTGTTAGAACCCAACAAATGTTTTTTCTCTAAGCAGTGGCATTTCTGGTCACCTGGAGGGTAACAGAATCCCACTTGTTTTTGTTCACACTAGCACAAAACCACCAGTTCCTGCCTCAGGTACAGGAAAGGCAAAGGTCTTGTGGACTGAGTGGCTGTGGGGAATAAAATGCTCTCTACATGATAAACAGGCAAAGCTCTAGTTCGTCTAAATAAGAGAAAAATTCAGGCCTTTATTACTCTCTGGTGGGAGGGAGCTGGTGTTGCCAGACTCTGGGACCTGACCTGTGGTCTCTGTCCTGAAGAGCTTCTACCCTGCAAACATCAATATCTGATCACTAACCTTGTGCCCAGTGCAGAGGGGCTGGGAAAGCCCTGCCCTCCTGGCCTCACTCAGACCCCAGCCCCACTGCCAAGTTCTTCCCACCCTCCTGGCCCTGTAGTCACTGTTCCTTGGATGGCATCAGCTAAAACTGATGCAGAAAGGGTGACACTCCCACTTGTCTGGTGCAGACTACACACAGTACTGGAGGAGGAGGAGGAGGAGGAGGAGGAGGAGGAAGAGGAAGAAGAGGTCTGAGTTTGGTTCCAAAGAGTCATCAGAGTCATCCAGTCACCATGACATGGAGGCGTGTCATCAGGGGGGCACTACAGGTGACTGTGATGTGTCTCACTTACTGTCACCCAAGGGAGCTCTCAGGAGCTCTTCCTGGAGTGTAAGCTGGGCTGGGCCCCTGGATGCCCCTGGAACCCAGCATCACTGTATAAGGTTTGATGGCACTTAGAGGAAATACACTGTGAATGTCACAATGGGAACACCTGGTTCCCAAGAATGCCTACAAAAACTTTTGG